CAAATGATATAACTGTATTTTTTGAGATTCAGCAGCTTGTAGTATTGTTGTAAATGTTAATTGCTGTATTTAAGTATTTGTATTCTCTGCAGCAGTTTTTTTTTTTTTATGAGTTTTACTCTCAATATGTGCTAAGATTATTGACCGAACTTTGTAATTAACACTATGATGACAAAACTTGCACATAAACTTATTATCCTCTCTATAAAAATCTTCATTAAATTTGAGCACTCTACTATTTAATGAGACTCTTTTTGGACCTATATCGAAAAAAGTATTTTTTTTTTAAAGACGAATATATCTATCTCAAACTTTTAATAATATTTTTTTTATACTTTAACATACTACTAGAAATTTATTCGTGCTTTAACATACTACTAAAAATAAACTATTTCACACTTTAACATACTTCTAGTAATTTATTTCTCACTACCTAAATTTAATTATTTTACACTTTAAAATCTATATATTAAATTTTAATTATTTCGCATTTTAAAATATTACTAAAATTTACTTTAACATACTACTATGTTATCACCTTATTCGGTTCTATTATTAATCAGTTTTATAATAGTCAAATATACAGGCCAAATCAATTTTTATTTGAGAATATATAAAACGAATACATGTCATTGATATAATATATATGATATAAAATTATACGATTTAGTGCGATTTGGTTTAATCACACTAAATCACATAATTTCTGTGTCCCTGCTATGCAGCAGCCAGCGGTCATTTCGTCATTATCCGATTATCTGATTTGGATTTAATTTTTGACTATTGACCGCTTTATGGATAATAACTGATTTATTCTCCTGGTTCTTATTATACTTCTGTACTATTTTTTAAAATTAAAGTTGTGTATTTCATAAAGTTTAGCATTACTATAATCACAAGACTTCTTTTATTTTTTTCTACTTTCTTTTTTCTGTGGCAAACAACTTTTACTTTTCGTTAGCAATTTCAATAATTTAAAAAATTCAGTATATTAATAAAAAAAGTAAAAAAAGATAAATAATCAAAAAGAAATATAAAATTCTGGATCAGCCTGAATCTGGAATCCAGACAATAATCATGAAAAAATATTACGGAAGTATAAATAAGAACTGGGGAATAAAACATAATACATCCTGTTCAAGTAGCATTATTGAATTATGATAGTACTGTAGTATTCAATAGGTATATACGCCCAGATGTGCTACAAGATCATTGGCATATCAAAAGACCCTATTTTCTGCAATTAATTATTAACAATGGTAAATGCATCCAAAAATTACTATTATAAAATTACCGTTTTCCTATGATTTTATATTAATATTCTAAAATATTTTCAATATTCAGGATCTAGTTTTGAAGAAGTAAGATCAGAACTAATTAATATAATAAATAACAAGATACTTGTTGTTTTTTTTATAGCGTGTGATTTAATTGTAAATATTTTAATTTTTATTAATTATTATTGATATTTATATGCAAGTTTCTATTAACGTTTTCATTATTATCATTATCATTATAATTATTAAGTCAGTAAAAATAGATCAATCATCAAACATAATACGTGATATTTTACTTTGTAAAAGATTTCAACAGCAATATGGACCATATAAGTTAAAAGACATAGTAAAAACTGAACTTGGCATTGAGATTCAGAAGAAGGGTAAAGACCATGACGCAGTAAATATAATTTATAATTTTTTTATAAATTTAATTAAATACAGAACTTTAAACTAATCAAGTGTAAGAACTCTTTCTGTCAATCACTTACACAAAACTTAATTAAAAATTTGTCAGTTAAAAATCTTTAATAACACATTAATTTACTAAAACAACTACTCTCAATATCTTAATTAAACT